ATCGATCCGATTGAATACTTTTTCTTTATTTTGAAATTGAAATTAGCGTGTAAAGAAATGAGGCAAAATAAATACGAATTTTAACTGAAAGTAAAACACAAAGCTTTATCAACTAAAATGTGCAATATTTATTTTAAAAAGTAAAAATTAAAAAATATATGCTACGAAATTTGAATTTCTTTGAAATTTATAATATCAATACACATACGAAAAAAAAAAACAAAAAAAAAAGACATATTGCAAAAATAAAAGGAGAAAAAAAGTTAGAAATTTCGGAAGACCAAATTTTATTGATTGAAAGGATGTGAAGAACAATGATGATTGGTTAAATATTAAAGTATTCGAAATTTGTCCGAAAAGATTTTGGCATCTTATAGATCAATAAAATTAATTGGTTTATTTTTTTTTTTTTTTGAAAGACCTCAGCATCTCTAGGGAAGAAATTATATACTGAAAGATTTCGTATTTTTCATATTTGAAATGTTTTTTACATTTTTTCCCGTATTTCAACTATTTTAAATATTCCTTCTAGCAAACTATCTTGATAAACTCGCTTACTAAGTGATTAGAGCTTTTTGTGAATTTATTTCATCACTTAAACTAACTCTAAAAATGGATTGTATTGAAAAGTAAAATTTGAAATATTTAATTTTACATTACACTGAAAAGACTTGTTGATTTAACTCAAGCATTTGCAGAAATAACAAGTATAATTTTACATTTGAACTTTTTTGTCAAAAAGAAAACCCACAAACAGAATTATATAACTTATAGGTAATTAAGTTAAGTGAAATGTTAGACCATCATTTTTCAAGCAAATTCCACTTATTGTTTGCCAAATAAAAAATTGTTGTCGAAGTTTTAAAAATGTCAAGTGAATTTAGTATTGATGAAGTATCAGTTCAAAAATTTAAAATGAACAAATACTTTCACAACCTAATTTTGCATTGATCGAAGAAAATTAGCTTTCATGAATACTTTTTAATAAATGCTGATTTTTCCAAATTTTCATATTTTCAAGTTAAATAAACAAAAATTAATCTTTCACATGTTTATATTATATAATGCATTATAAGTAATATAATGTACTACATTTTGCAGCTCTAATTTTGAATTTTTGTAAATTTTTAAAAATTCATGCACTATTACTGAATTTATGATCATGAACTAAAAATATCATTTTTATCAGGTTAAAGAAGCCACTTTTTTTAATGTGAAAACAATGCAATAAAAAGTGAAATGATCGTTTTTGCCTTGTTTCATAGCCATAAAATCTTCTATAAATGTAAAATAATTAACAGTATTTTTTTGCTAAAAACGTATTCTGTAAATGTGAGAGATAATCGTTTCAATTAGAATGCATCTCAGCTGCTTATTCTGAAGAGTAATTTATTTGATGAAATGCATAACACCCGTAAACATTCTTTTAAAAAAAAAGTTTCAAAAAATTCATTGCAAAATTAAAAATTTTAATTTTTAATTTCCTGACAATTATTTTCTCTTTCCCCCAATTTTTAGCTCTATTTTCGCGTAATAATTTTGGTAAAATTTGAAAAGAGCATGATAACTGTATTGTTAATTTTTTTAAATTGATATATCTGATTAGCTGAAATTAATATTTCGTACTATTTTCGTACTGAAATTAAAATTTCGTACTCTAAAAGTTTTTTTTTTCGCAAATTTCGTGTTGCTAAAAATTAAAATTTTATACTCTACTGATTTCTCGTACTCTACTAAAATTTCGTAATCTAAAAGTATTATATATAAAATTACTCTAGCAATAACGATATTTACATAGATGATGCTCTATCCCTCTCCCTTTGCAATTATGCATTAGCTTAAATGAACTAAATTAATTTTTATTCTTGCGGCAAAAAATATTAAATTAACAAACCTATCAACGCTCGAATAATAATAAGCAATCTAACTTCCGAGGGAAAAAATAAATTTTTTGAAATGGAATGGAAAAAAAAACAAGCAACTGAAAGAATGAAAAATTTGAAAGTTTATTTAAGAAAAATTACGAAATAAATAGGAATTTTGCTATTTCATTCTTTATTAATGCATAATTTATATGAGTAAACAAATGGCACTCAAAATTTTGAGGATTGAGAAGTGTGTTCGAGAAGATAAATGACTTTGCTTCCAATGTTTAAATCATTGCTCTATCAAAAAAATTATTCCTTATACCGGACACATATATGTAAAAAAAAAGAAAATGCAAACTTAATTTGACATTTTAAAAATTAATGCTTTGATAAAATTGAAAAAAAAACTTGAAATAATGCAACAAAATATATTTTTCAAACATTTTCAACTCTTCTATTTTAATATATTTTGCTGTCGTACACTATAACAAGTCATCTATAAACTTCAGTAATAAATATCATCCAAATTTTTACACTAAAATTCATATGATTAACTTTTTAAACTGTTAGTCGATTATGTATGTCATATTTTGATGCAACAAGAAATTATAGAACATAGTGTTATAATAAAAGAAAAAGCGAAAGAAGAAAAAAGGCTTAATCAAAGATTTTAAACTCAGTAATCTTTGGCCTCATTTCTAACAGCCATAATCTTTGGATCTCATTTCTGATAGCCAATTTCACAATCTTTCGATCTCATTTCTAGTAGTCAATTGAGCCAATCTTCTTCAGGAATATATGATATATATGATTAAACATCTAAAAGGAGCTATTTTAGCCTAACAACAAAAAAAACCAGGCTAGAAACTTATTTCTGCAAAAAAAAACTATGAAACAAATAGCTCTCCTATATCATACAAATTTTAATTATAGCCTGAAATTTTACCACTAACTAATATTGTCGATGATCGTAATGAAATTACTAAAATTTAAATATTTTATCCTGTGCCAGCAAAAAAAAGCTAGCCTGACTGATAAATTCAAACAATAATTCGAAAATTGATTGAAGTAGTGAATTTTCCACACATCCAAATGTCCTCCTCTTCAAATCTTCATCAAAAAATTCTTCTCAAATCTTCCTTCTAACCAACGCCTCTTAACTTTTTCTTCTCCGATATTATTACTCAATGTATTTGCAGGAAAAAAATTATATGTCTAATTTTCAAATCAAATAATTTCGTCGTTTTTACTTCTTTTATTAAATTACACTTGAAAAATTTTTTTGTAAATGAACAAATTATCAGTATTATTAGCCAGGAATTTGCTCACATTATAAGTTCGTTTAATTTTGAAGTCGAAAGAAAGAGAAGAAAAAAAAAGTGAAAATCAAGTTTATGTCTGTGTTGATAATTTTTCTCGTTATCAAGTAATGATATCATTTGTTTAAATTAAATGCATGTATAAAAAAAATTTATTTCATTTTAAAACAATTTTTCAAAATAATTAGGAAAAATAACTTGTGCATTATTTTTTTTAAAAGAAATGATGAAAATGATTTTAATTTTTTTATTTTTTCTCAATTTTAACAATTTTTCGGAAATGAAAATTTTTTATTTCGAAAAATACATCAATTTAGTCAGCAATATTGAAGTTTTTCAATTTCTTATAAAATATGGGAAAAAAAAGCACGAAATAAAGGAAGGAAAAATTAATCAAAAATAATAAGTTCGCATTAAGTAATAAATGAAAACTTTCTGCGTAAAAAATCCACATAAAAGAGATTTGAAAATTATTCAAACTGAACTGTCCGTGTTTTTTTTTGTCGCTTCCTCAAGTTTTAATTTTTGACTATTCAAATTAATTAGATTAATGACTCAGAATTTGACCTAGACCATTAAAAGCAAAAAAAAAAACATAATTTTGTAATTGATAAATTAAATAATATTCGATATCAATTCCTGAAGGCAAGAGAGAAATCAAATGAAAAAAGTAGGATAGTTTGGAAATTTACATGAAATTAAAATTTGAAGTTTCAAATTTAAGAGAATTTGGCATTTCGAAGAAGATTGACAATTCAATAATGTTCCATTTAGAGCAGCAACTTTTATTTAACGAACGATCAATTCCATTCCTTTTTTTCTTTTTCGTCCTTTTTTTTTCCTTTTTTTCTTCCAATAACTGAATTAATGTTGATTAAAAGGACAGAAGCCTTTCATTTCAATGAACAAATTCAATTACATCTGTGTTTATTTGAATGACGAATAACTCACTTAATGCCTAACGAAATTATGCTTATTTGAGAGAAGTTTGAATTTAAAAGTTTCTAAAAGTAATCCAAATTGTTTCTTTCTTTCGCTTCTCTCTCCTCCTTTTCTCATTGAAAACAATTTTCCTGAAGGCATTTTATGCTGTGTTTTTTTTTTGTCAAAGAATAAAAATGGAATAGCTGTTTACTTAAACTATTCAAATTATCAATATCAGTTCTTTTCTTTTTACTAAATTAATAGAATCGTAAAACATTAGCAAATTTGAAATTTGTAATAATATCGCACAAGTTAATAATGTTACCATTACCAAAAAAATATCTGAAAAAGTCATAAATTTTCAATCCATCTTTTTTTTGGAAAAGTTCATTAAATTTTTTCGGTTTATAAAATTTTCAATGTTACATCGATAGTAATTTCTGTTAATTTATCTGCAGAATGTTTAAAGGATAGATGAACAGACACATATCAGTGATTATCATTGATAAAGTGAATTTTCACACCTCTCTCATCTGTCTTCCATTCATGTCATCATTCCTACAAACTTTTAATGAATAAAATTTTCCGAAATTGATCACTAACACGCAAGACTAGGAGTTTGTTTCTGTTACCGACGTTGTTGAACGAATTCTTACGCGCAGTTTCCATCAGATGGATGCAATTTTCTAATCAGAAATAATTATGTATCTCGACGATTAAGGTCGAGAACAAGCTATGATATATAAAATCTGTGGCCTATATTTTACTGGTGCGTTGTCGAAAGAATGCCGAAGAATAAGGCATATTTGATATATTTATTGGATTCGTACAAACGCTGATAAGTATAAATCTGGTGTGAAAAAAAAAAACAAAATCGTTTGTAAATTTCCTATCTAAGTAGAGAGCCAGAACCGGTCCTTGGCGGAGGACAATGATCACATGAACCGGGTTGTCCTGGTGGTCCTCTAGGTCCTGGTGGTCCATGTGGTCCTGGTAAACCATCTACACCTTTCTCTCCTGGATCACCTGGTGGTCCTGGTGGACCTGCTTTACCCGGCTGGCCATCTCGTCCGGGAGGTCCAGGAGGTCCTAAAATATACTTCTATTTTATTTTGTGATATTCGAACCTGAAATCTGATAAAAAAACAGAATTTAAATTTGTAGTAATGCTTACCTTGAGGTCCAGGAGGTCCAGGAGGTCCTGGTGGTCCAGGCGGCGCACCATTTACAATCTTTCCTGGTTCTCCTGGAGGTCCTTTTTCACCAGGCAATCCTGGTGGTCCTTGCGGTCCTTGAGGTCCTGGCTGTCCTGGCAAACCAGGAGCACCATCAAGTCCTATAGCAAATGGTAAGATTAATTGGTAAGATTAATAAAGATCGCTGATTCATAAAAATTACTTCTGCCAATTATTAATTTCAATAAAGGTCACCTGGGATGCCAGCATCTCCTTGAGGTCCAGGTAAACCCTTCGGTCCAGGTGGTCCAGATGGCCCAGGCGGTCCAGGTGGACATTTCTGGCATGGTGGCTTTGGAGGTGGTCCAGGAAGCAAACTACCATCACGTCCTGGCGGTCCTGGATTACCTGGTCGTCCTGGTGCTCTAAAAAACTCTATAATAAGGAAGCTTATCGTTTTCATAATTTTCAAATACGCCGTAATCTGCTAAGCAGCAAGCGTACAACAAGCCTGATCGTTAATAAAATCAAAGGCCTGTTTTAAATGTTAAGCGCTTCAACAGGAAATATTCTTGAAAGAAACAATCTACTTCAAACAAATAAAATGACTGTAACTTCTCGGATAACACTGAAAAATGCACCACTAACCCAGGTCGTCCATCACGTCCGGGTGGACCGGGTGGTCCAGGTGGTCCAACCTGACACGTACAGCAACTTCCGCTAGTTGCTGTGTTTACTTCCTCTTCCACACGAACATTTTTTGCACCATACTGACGTTTTTTACGAGGCGTTGTAGTGACAGCTATGGAAGATGTAATCGTTTGCAATTGTACCATTTCTTTCCACATATCTCGTGAACGAGTCTGAAAATTTTTTGATTGATTTCAGAATAATTCGAAAATATTCATTTACTTTAAATTTCCTAAATTTGCAAATTTTTTGATTTACTTTTAAATTTCCTAAATTTGAAAGAAAGTTGATTGGATTAAATAATTTTTTCAAAAAAAAAAATTGAGCATGGAATTTTGAAGATATCATCAATAGTAAATGTACATGATTAATCTGATCTAAAAAATCTAAACAATACTGTAATTATTCGTTAATGATTTTAATTTAATTAATTATTTCAAAAAATTTTGCAAAATTTACAAATAATTGTAAGTATTTGACGATTAAAAATGAAAAAAAATCAATTTAATTTTACAGTTTAGCTTACAGTAATCAATCTCATTTAATCAATTTAATTTCACAATTTACCTTACAGTAATCAACTTCATTTTGCATGAATGATTGAACATTTTGCACATGACTGTAAATAATTGGTAATGTGATCACACAACACATCACCGATATCGTGGAAAAGGCAACGGCTGCAAAAGCGACAGGTTTCAAAGAGCGCCGTTTCCGATCCGGAATATCCATTTGTAGCCGGATACGTTAGCACTATAAGTAATGATAACAGTAGGTATTTTCAAAAAATGCAATTAATGAGCAGTAATTACATTTACGTCATCAAATTTCACTTATGAATACTTCTCTTTGTGCCAGTTAGAGTTTTACATTGTTGAATTAAGTTTAGGTATGATAAAGTAATAAGTATTAACTTAAGTTCACGGACTAAATAATTACATAAAATAAAGGCTTTATATGAATGTCTCATCCAATATTAATAGTTGTAGTTATAAATATTTGAAAAACTTATAAATGTAAACATTTAGACATATTAAGTAAAATTAATGCTCCACTAGCTAAATTTATTTTAAAAGTTGCACAGAACTCTAAAAT